TGGACACTGGGGAGTGCGGAGAGTATTGGAGTGCAGGTCTCAGTGGTGACATGGATACTGGGGAGTGCGGAGTGTATTGGAGTGCAGGTCTCAGTGGTGACATGGATACTGGGAAGTGCGGAGTGTATTGGAGTGCAGGTCTCAGTGGTGACATGGATACTGGGGAGTGCGGAGTGTATTGGAGTGCAGGTCTCAGTGGTGACATGGATACTGGGGAGTGCGGAGTGTATTGGAGTGCAGCTCCCAGTGGTGACATGGACATCAGGGAGTGCGGAGTGTATTGGAGTGCAGCTCCCAGTGGTGACATGGACATGGGGAGTGCGGAGTGTATTGGAGTGCAGGTCTCAGTGGTGACATGGACACTGGGGAGTGCGGAGTGTATTGGAGTGCAGATCTCAGTGGTGACATGGATACTGGGGAGTGCGGAGTGTATTGGAGTGCAGATCTCAGTGGTGACATGGACGCTGGGGAGTGCGGAGTGTATTGGAGTGCAGGTCTCAGTGGTGACATGGATACTGGGGAGTGCGGAGTGTATTGGAGTGCAGGTCTCAGTGGTGACATGGATACTGGGGAGTGCGGAGAGTATTGGAGTGCAGATCTCAGTGGTGACATGGACGCTGGGGAGTGCGGAGTGTATTGGAGTGCAGGTCTCAGTGGTGACATGGACATCAGGGAGTGCGGAGTGTATTGGAGTGCAGGTCTCAGTGGTGACATGGATACTGGGGAGTGCGGAGTGTATTGGAGTGCAGATCTCAGTGGTGACATGGATACTGGGAGTGCGGAGTGTATTGGAGTGCAGGTCTCAGTGGTGACATGGACACTGGGCAGTGCGGAGTGTATTGGAGTGCAGATCTCAGTGGTGACATGGACACTGGGGAGTGCGGAGTGTATTGGAGTGCAGGTCTCAGTGCTGACATGGACATCAGGGAGTGCGGAGTGTATTGGAGTGCAGGTCTCAGTGGTGACATGGACATCTGGGAGTGCGGAGTGTATTGGAGTGCAGGTCTCAGTGGTGACATGGACGCTGGGGAGTGCGGAGTGTATTGGAGTGCAGGTCTCAGTGCTGACATGGACACAGGGAGTGCGGAGTGTATTGGAGTGCAGGTCTCAGTGGTGACATGGACACTGGGCAGTGCGGAGTGTATTGGAGTGCAGGTCTCAGTGGTGACATGGACACTGGGGAGTGCGGAGTGTATTGGAGTGCAGATCTCAGTGGTGACATGGACACTGGGGAGTGCGGAGTGTATTGGAGTGCAGGTCTCAGTGGTGACATGGACACTGGGCAGTGAGGAGTGTATTGGAGTGCAGATCTCAGTGCTGACATGGACACTGGGGAGTGCGGAGTGTATTGGAGTGCAGGTCTCAGTGCTGACATGGACACAGGAGGGAGTGCGGAGTGTATTGGAGTGCAGGTCTCAGTGGTGACATGGACACTGGGGAGTGCGGAGTGTATTGGAGTGCAGGTCTCAGTGCTGACATGGACATCAGGGAGTGCGGAGTGTATTGGAGTGCAGGTCTCAGTGGTGACATGGACACTGGGGAGTGCGGAGTGTATTGGAGTGCAGGTCTCAGTGTGACATGGACACAGGGGAGTGCGGAGTGTATTGGAGTGCAGGTCTCAGTGGTGACATGGATACTGGGGAGTGCGGAGTGTATTGGAGTGCAGGTCTCAGTGGTGACATGGACACTGGGGAGTGCGGAGTGTATTGGAGTGCAGGTCTCAGTGGTGACATGGACACTGGGGAGTGCGGAGTGTATTGGAGTGCAGGTCTCAGTGGTGACATGGACAGTGCTGACATGGGGAGTGCGGAGTGTATTGGAGTGCAGGTCTCAGTGCTGACATGGACGCTGGGGAGTGCGGAGTGTATTGGAGTGCAGGTCTCAGTGCTGACATGGACATCAGGGGAGTGCGGAGTGTATTGGAGTGCAGGTCTCAGTGGTGACATGGATACTGGGGAGTGCGGAGTGTATTGGAGTGCAGATCTCAGTGGTGACATGGACACAGGGGAGTGCGGAGTGTATTGGAGTGCAGGTCTCAGTGGTGACATGGACACTGGGGAGTGTGCGGAGTGTATTGGAGTGCAGGTCTCAGTGGTGACATGGACACTGGGGAGTGCGGAGTGTATTGGAGTGCAGGTCTCAGTGGTGACATGGACACTGGGGAGTGCGGAGTGTATTGGAGTGCAGGTCTCAGTGGTGACATGGACACAGGGGAGTGCGGAGTGTATTGGAGTGCAGGTCTCAGTGGTGACATGGACACTGGGGAGTGCGGAGTGTATTGGAGTGCAGGTCTCAGTGCTGACATGGACACTGGGGAGTGCGGAGTGTATTGGAGTGCAGGTCTCAGTGGTGACATGGACACAGGGGAGTGCGGAGTGTATTGGAGTGCAGGTCTCAGTGGTGACATGGACACAGGGGAGTGCGGAATGTATATCATTTCCTATGTGTGCAGGAAAAGACATGTAGAAATGTACTATGAGCATTATGGATCACACACACCATGACTCTGTTTCTCTAGCGTGCCCACGCCTGAGACTGCGGCTGACTCCATTTCTTTTCATTTTCTAGGCTCACAACCATCACAAGCGAAAAAATCACAAACCCATCCCCCCTAAAGATCCCTGACACCTTCCTAAAGGCCCAGGGGACCAAGAAGATCCCTCGGGAGACGCTGGAACTGTTCGCTGTGCTGTGTATAGAGACCAGTCACTATGTGTCTTTCGTTAAGTACGGGGGGTGGAGAAGGGAAGCTGGATGTTCTTCGACAGTATGGCGGACCGATATGGTAAGAAACCACTGAATGGCGCCTTTCACTTGAGGAGTCTGATTGTGATGGTGAGGTCTCTACGCCGAGCTCCTCCAACTCCACTGTATCTTCTGGGGCTCGTGGAGGTGTTTTGATTTACTTGCTTTGGGCAAAGGCTAAGGAACATAGCTAAGAAATCCAGGCAGGAGGCCTCACCAGTAAACTAAAAGTTACAAGAGTGCAATTCGCACTGGTGAACTGGACACTGGGGGGGGGTGACATGGACACTGGGGGGTGACATGCTCGTACTGGAGTGCAAATCTCACTGGTGACATGGACACTGGGGGGGTGACATGCTTGTACTGGAGTGCAAATCTCACTGGTGACATGGACACTGGGGGTGACATGACATGGACACTGGGGGGGGACATGGACACTGGAGGGGGTGACATGGACACTGGGGGGTGACATGCTCGTACTGGAGTGCAAATCTCACTGGTGACATGGACACTGGGGGGTGACATGCTTGTACTGGAGTGCAAATCTCACTGGTGACATGGACACTGGGGGGGGGTGACATGGACACTGGGGGGTGACATGCTCGTACTGGAGTGCAAATCTCACTGGTGACATGGACACTGGGGGGGGGTGACATGGACACTGGGGGGTGACATGCTCGTACTGGAGTGCAAATCTCACTGGTGACATGGACACTGGGGGGTGACATGCTCATACTGGAGTGCAAATCTCACTGGTGACATGGACACTGGGGGGGGGTGATACTGGAGTGCAAATCTCACTGGTGACATGACTCGTGACTGGAGTGCAAATCTCACTGGTGACATGGACACTGGGGGGAGATGCTCATGCTCATACTGGAGTGCAAATCTCACTGGTGACATGGACACTGGGGAGTGACATGCTCATACTGGAGTGCAAGTCTCATTGGTGACATGGATACTGGGGAGTGACATTTTCATACTGGAGTGCAAATCTCACTGATGACATGGACATGGACACTGGGGGGTGACATGCTCATACCAGAGTGCAAATCTCATTGGTGATATGGACACTGGGGGGTGACATGCTCATACCGGAGTGCAAATCTCACTGATGACATGGACACTGGGGGGGGGTGACATGCTTGTACTGGAGTGCAGGTCTCACTGATGACATGGATACTGGGGGGTGAGGTGTGTGGAGGTCTTACAGGTGATATGGATACTAGGCTGATAAAAGTGTGTGCTGGAGTGTACATCTCAGTGGTGGTATGGATAGTGGAGACCAGGGGCGGACTAACCATTTGGAAACTCGGGCACTGGGGAGTGACATGTGACTGCCTGAGGGCCCGGGGTCAGTAGCGGGCCCCATGAGATGCCCCTGGTACCTTTTTCATAGGCTTTTTTGAGTTTGGGCAAGGACACAGGGGCCCCATGAGCCCCTATTGCTCGAGGGCCCCATGAGTTGTCAATCCACCCCTGGTGGAGACTGAGGTATGTTGTATAGCTCTCACTGGTGACAAGGACACTAGTAAGTGAGGTATGTGATTGAGGAAGTGTAAATCTCAGTTGTAACATGGGGGGGGGGGGGGGGGGGAGTGTATGTGTTAATAGAGCTAATTTGTGACATGGATACTGGGGAGTGAGGTATGTGGTATGAAGATCCCACTGATGACATGGATACTGGGGAGTGAGGTACGTGGTATGAAGATCCCACTGATGACATGGATACTGGGGAGTGAGGTTTGTGGTATGAAGATCCCACTGATGACATGGATACTGGGGGGGTGAGGTATGTGGTATGAAGATCCCACTGATGACATGGATACTGGGGAGTGAGGTTTGTGGTATGAAGATCCCACTGATGACATGGATACTGGGGGTGAGGTATGTGGTATGAAGATCCCACTGATGACATGGATACTGGGGAGTGAGGTATGTGGTATGAAGATCCCACTGATGACATGGATACTGGGAGTGAGGTATGTGGTATGAAGATCCCACTGATGACATGGATACTGGGGAGTGAGGTATGTGGTATGAAGATCCCACTGATAACATGGATACTGGGGAGTGAGGTATGTGGTTTGCAGATCCCACTGGTGACATGGATATACTGGGTGGGGAGTGAGGTATGTGGTATGAAGATCCCACTGATGACATGGATACTGGGGAGTGAGGTATGTGGTATGAAGATCCCACTGATGACATGGATACTGGGGAGTGAGGTATGTGGTATGAAGATCCACTGGTTACATGGATACTGGGGAGTGAGGTATGTGGTATGCAGATCCCACTGGTGACATGGATACTGGGGAGTGAGGTATGTGGTATGAAGATCCCACTGGTGACATGGATACTGGGAGTGAGGTATGTGGTATGAGATCTCCACTGATGACATGGATACTGGGGAGTGAGGTATGTGGTATGAAGATCCCACTGATGACATGGATACTGGGGTGTGAGGTATGTGGTATGAAGATCCTACTGATGACATGGATACTGGGGGTGAGGTATGTGGTATGAAGATCCCACTGATGACATGGATACTGGGGGTGAGGTATGTGGTTTGCAGATCCCACTGATGACATGGTACTGGGGAGTGAGGGTATGTGGTATGAAGATCCCACTGATGACATGGATACTGGGGGTGTGAGGTATGTGGTTTGCAGATCCCACTGATGACATGGTTACTGGGGAGTGAGGAGGTATGTGGTATGAAGATCCCACTGATGACATGGATACTGGGGAGTGAGGTATGTGGTATGAAGATCCCACTGATGACATGGTTACTGGGGAGTGAGGTATGTGGTATGAAGATCCCACTGATGACATGGATACTGGAGGTGAGGTATGTGGTATGAAGATCCCACTGATGACATGGATACTGGGGAGTGAGGTATGTGGTATGCAGATCCACTGATGACATGGATACTGGAGAGTGAGCGAGGTATGTAGTATGAAGATCCCACTGATGACATGGATACTGGGGCTGAGGTATGTGGTATGAAGATCCCACTGATGACATGGATACTGGGGGGGTGAGGTATGTGGTTTGCAGATCCCACTGATGACATGGTTACTGGGGAGTGAGGTATGTGGTATGAAGATCCCACTGATGACATGGATACTGGGGTGAGGTATGTGGTATGAAGATCCCACTGATGACATGGATACTGGGGAGTGAGGTATGTGGTATGAATATCCCACTGATGACATGGATACTGGGGAGTGAGGTATGTGGTATGAAGATCCCACTGATGACATGGATACTGGGGGTGAGGTATGTGGTATGAAGATCCCACTGATGACATGGATACTGGGGGTGAGGTATGTGGTATGAAGATCCCACTGATGACATGGATACTGGGGGTGAGGTATGTGGTATGAAGATCCCACTGATGACATGGATACTGGGGGTGAGGTATGTGGTATGAAGATCCCACTGATGACATGGATACTGGGGGGTGAGGTATGTGGTATGAAGATCCCACTGATGACATGGATACTGGGGAGTGAGGTTTGTGGTATGAAGATCCCACTGATGACATGGATACTGGGGAGTGAGGTATGTGGTATGCAGATCCCACTGATGACATGGATACTGGGGGTGAGGTATGTGGTATGCAGATCCCACTGATGACATGGATACTGGGGGTGAGGTATGTGGTATGAAGATCCCACTGATGACATGGATACTGGGGGTGAGGTATGTGGTATGAAGATCCCACTGATGACATGGATACTGGGGGTGAGGTATGTGGTATGCAGATCCCACTGATGGATACTGGGGAGTGAGGTATGTGGTATGCAGATCCCACTGATGACATGGATACTGGGGAGTGAGGTATGTGGTATGAAGATCCCACTGATGACATGGATACTGGGGAGTGAGGTATGTGGTATGCAGATCCCACTGATGACATGGATACTGGGGAGTGAGGTATGTGGTATGAAGATCCCACTGATGACATGGATACTGGGGAGTGAGGTATGTGGTATGAAGATCCCACTGATGACATGGATACTGGAGAGTGAGGTATGTGGTATGAAGATCCCACTGATGACATGGATACTGGGGAGTGAGGTATGTGGTATGCAGATCCCACTGATGACATGGATACTGGGGAGTGAGGTATGTGGTATGAAGATCCCACTGATGACATGGTTACTGGGGAGTGAGGTTTGTGGTGCAGATCTCACTGGTGCATGGACACTGGGAAGAAAAGTATGTGCTGGAGGGCAGATCACAGTGGTGACATGGATACTGGGGAGTGAGGTATATGATGGAGTGCATATCTCACTTTTGACATGGATAGAAGATGACAGTAGGCGGGTCAACCCCACAATGTTCACCTATCAATGAGCTATGTTTTCTTTTGGATTTAAGATCTAAAGACGTTCTCCACAAAGGGGGTCTGCTCAGGAATTTTCAGCCTTTGGTTCATTAACTTCCAAAGGGGAACCAAGGGCTGCATGATGTTTGAACCCATGAAAAGGGATAAGTTTTGCATTTACTGCTACCATGGGTTCAAGGCAGATCCTGAGGGTTCAAGATTTGAGGTCCCAGTGGATTTTTGTGCATATTTGCCCAGGAGACGTTTTTTTTTAACCATAATGCACCGCATAGCCTTTGAACTATGACCAGCGGGCTTGGAAGGGCTAATAAAGAGGTTTTTCGATAAACCAGCCTTTTCACCCTGGCGTCCCATGCCTTTTTGTTAGTTAGCACGAGATTACGTCACTTCCGGTCACGTGGGGACGTTTTTGTCCGGACGCAGCGGCCATATTGGTTTCCCTCCCTGTATGAGAGTACACCCATGATGTGAGGTGAAAAAGCGCTGTATCCAAAGATACCATGTGAGTTGGAAAGTTTGTTATGCCATATTACTTATAATAAACGGTGTTATACTATGGGAAGTTTCTGTTTGTGCCCTATATGACGTGGTAAGAGGAGGTGGAGTGGAAGTCCTGAGGTTCCTGCCCGAGTTGCTTGGAGGAAAGGATTGCCTTTAAGGAGAGCCTTTTTGCCTTTTGGCCCTGTGTGGGTCGAGGAGGGGAGGTGAGCAGGCATTTCTGCCGTTGGAGGATTCCTTTCTTGAGCACTAGAAGTGAAGATCACAGAGTGTTTCACATTTTTGCATAGATTATTTGAGTTTTTTTGAAACACTGAGTTTATTTATTTATATTTTTTTTGATCTGAGAAGCAATTTTTTCTAATTTGTTATAGGGTTTAACACAGACATATGTATTTACCTATCGCAGCATCACTATATATCTTTTTTTTTTTGATATTCAGTTGTGTCACAAGTATCACGATTTGTCACATTTTTATGAATCAGTAGTATTATGTTAATTGTTTTTATCATTATATATTATGAATTGTATATTTTGGTATCTTTTATCACAGATCTATTAAGAGTTAATAGTATATGGGTATATATGAGAAGTGTTTATGTAATTTTTCACTTATTGAATAATTTTTTTTAGTTAATTTGGGAGCGCTTCACTATTTTATGCAAAGCATGGGGGAGGAGGTGACAAGGGAGCTAAAGAAGAGTTCTTGGGACAGAAATTAGGGTAGGTAGGTAATTCCAGAGGATGGGGGAGGCTCTGGAGAAGTCCTGGAGGTGAGTATGGGAAGAAGTGACAAGGGAGGTACAGAGCAGGAGTTCTTGGGAAAGGAATTCAGGTAAGTGGTTCCAGAGTATGGGAGAGGCTCTGAAGAAGTCCTGAAGGTGAGGTCTTGGGACAGAAATTATGTTAAGGAGTTCCAGAGGATGGGAGAGGCTTTGGAGAAGTCCTGGATGCAAGCATGGGAGGAGGTAACAAGGGAGCTACAAAGGAGGAGGTCTTGAGTCAGAAATTAGGGTAGGTAGTCCCAGAGTATGGGAGAGGTTTAGAAGAAGCCCTGGAGGCAAGCATGGGAGGAGGTGACAAGGGAGGTACAGAGCAGGAGCTCTTGGGAAAGGAATTCAGGTCAGTGGTTTCAGAGTATGGGAGAGGCTCTGAAAAAGTCCTGAAGGTGAGGTCTTGGGACAGAAATTATGTTAAGGAGTTCCAGAGGATGGGAGAGGCTTTGGAGAAGTCCTGGATGCAAGCATGGGAGGAGGTAACAAGGGAGCTACAAAGGAGGAGGTCTTGAGTCAGAAATTAGGGTAGGTAGTCCCAGAGTATGGGAGAAGCTCAGAAGAAGCCCTGGAGGCAAGCATGGGAGGAGGTGACAAGGGAGCTAAAGAGTAGGTCTTGGGACAGAAATTATGTAAGGAGTTCCAGAAGATGGGAGAGGCTCTGGAGTAGTCCTGGAGGTGACCGTGGGGGGGGGGGGGGAGAGAGCAGGAGGTCTTGGGTCAGAAAGTATGCTAATTATGTTCCAGAGGATGAGCGAGACTCTGGAGAAGTCCTAGAGGTATGCATGGAAGGAGGTGGAAGAAGGTGAGAAGGGGCCTAGAGAGCAGATGCCGGGATAGATATTAGAGTAAGGAGTTCCAGAGGATGGGAGAAGCTTTGGAGAAGTTCTGAAGGCAAGCATGGGAGGAGGTTACAAAGGAGCTAGGGAGCAGGAGGTTTTGGGCGGAGCCAAGAAAATGGTTTGGTTAGTATTGGAGACTAGGTGGGTAATGTAGCTGGGGCAGAGTTGGGATGGCTTTGTATGTTGTTGTTCGTGTTTTGAGTTTTATTCTTTGGAAGAGCGGAAGCCAATGGAGGGATTGGCAGAGGGGGTGGCGGACACTGAGTGGTTGGTAAAGTGGACAAGTATGGTGGTAGGGTGGTTTGGTCTATAAACATTTTCCTGAGGCTTTTGGACAATACTGGTGCATTTCTATTGGTTCTGTAGGGTTGTCCCTAAATTCACCAATCTGCGAAGCCATGGATATTGTTTGTTCATACGGGAACATCTAAATTCGCTTTAAATGGAAGTACTTGAGCAGCAGGATTATGTATTTTCACCCCTCGAGTGCTTACAGTTTAGTTTGTATTTATTTGTGCTTTTGGAGCAAGGCTTTCTCACGCTGCTTTGAGTTTGATCAACTTTTAACCTTCTGCCATGTTGTCCCTGCAGGTAGCGAAAATGGCTACAACATCCCCCGAGTCAGCCTCTGCCCAGAGGTGGCCACGTACCTGGCCTCTCCGCTGAAAGACCTCATCAACCAGAACCCTCGTGAGATGAAAGGTGTTTCCAAACGCCTCTTCTGTGATGCCTATATGTACATGTACCAGTCCAAGAGGATGGCACTCTACAAATGAGACAGATGCTCAATGTTGCTTATCTCGACCTTCTGAGGTAGTTGGAGGACATATAAGTGTGATGCAAGTCTGTCGAAGTCAAGGTTATCCAGAAAGGGTTGTCAATCTGGGAAAAATCGAATGGATAGAAATCTTACCAGAAAATTGCTGCTTCTGTCAAAGTGAGACTTAGACAATCGTTAAGTCTGGATTTGCACTGAAAGTTCCCCTACATCTATGAAACTACGACATCAAGAAACAAGTTTACCTTGTGCCGTTAAAGGTACATTCTAGACTGTGCATTTCTACTTATAAAAGCTTTATATTTGCCATCTTACTTGGCTCTATTTATTGCCCTGACAATCCTTCAGTCTCTCAGGATCTTTAATGTCGAGATCTCTAGTTGTAGATCCCAGCACTGTATGCCTGCTGTGTCCATCATGAGGAGCTCCCACCATCATTGCCCTGAGTTCCTGGGTCTCCGCACCTGCTATGCCTTTCGTGAAGGCCTCCCATCACCCCTGACCTATGTGTTGGAGTCTGTACACGTGCTGTGCCCATTATGAGGAGCTCCCATCATCCCTGCCCTGAGGTCCTGGGTCTCCACACCTGATATGCCTTTTATGAAGGTTTACCATCACCCCTGACCTATGTGTTGGGGTCTGTACACCTGCTGTGCCCATTATGAGGAGCTCCCACCATCCCTGCCCTGAGGTCCTGGGTCTCCACACCTGCTATGCCTTTTATGAAGGCTTCCCATCACCCAGGACCTAAGTTGCAGGGTCTGTAGAACTTCTGTGCCCATTATTAGGGAGTCTTAACATCTCTGCACTGATGCCCAACATTCCTTCACTAAGTTCCCAGGTTTGTACACTTGCTGTCCATTTTGAGTGTTTCCTACTGTCTCTTTTCTAGATTCCCAGGGTGGTTTACACAAGGTGCTCATTATGAGAGTCTCACCTTCTGTACACACCTGGTGTGTGCTCATTATGAAGGGTTCCCACCAGAGGCGGACTGACAACTCATGGGGCCCCCCGGGCAATAGGAAATCATGGGGCCCCTGTGTCCTTTCCCACACTCAAACCACATCCAAAAAAGCCTATGAAAGGTACTAGGGGCATCTCATGTGGCCAATATACTAAGAAAGTTATTAAAGAGGTTATTAAATACATTAACGTGTCACCCAATGTATGGGTCTCCATTCAGTAGCCAAAAGAGGCATACAAAAAAGGAGGGTTGTGAAAAGAGATTCACAGAAAAGCGGCTACATAATGAACAGAACGTGACATTAAGGGAATAATTTCAAAAAATTATGCTTTATTACACACAAATGAATATGACATATGGGCATTTGCCCTGGTTTACCATCACCTCAGTATGAGACAATACACACAGACCTAAAAACCATTTAAAATGACACAAAAACCGGTCTAAATGTATGTGTGTAGCAGGGAAAATGGCTACATGAGTCTAGTGTCCCTGCAACACAAACACACAGGTGAACACTTCCCTAGGGAGGTGTATCCAAAAATTATGCCATGGGCATACCATAATAGAGGATATAAGGGATTAAACAGTAACCATAATGGCAAATCCCTATCAAGAAATCCAAAAAATTATGCTGTAAATATATATATCTCACATGTATGCAATGGAGCAAGCACAATATGCGTCAAAAAGGAGAGTAGCAAGCCTCAGGCCTGTATGAAGGAAGACATAAATGTCAAATATATTGTACAATACATTCCTGTGCCGGCACAAGTGGTTGGGGCCCATTCATCTGTAATATAGATAGCTGTTTCCTAGAGCTCTTGGATGGGAATATGCCCCATTTATTTCCAGGATGGAAGAAAAGATGCACACAGCAGCACTCTGCTTGAAATGGTTTCTTCACCACTACATGTGGACTATACACCACTTTTTGTAGGAAAAAACAAGACACATCCCAAAGACTCTTCTGCCTGTTGAAATATATATGGTATATCTTGTTTCCTATACAAAGCACCATGATGTCCCCATCCTGTAGTGAAACAAACAATATGTGGGAAGTCACTGACAGAGCTCACACTCTATAGAAGATATATAGGTCATATAGATCACAGAGGACCATATATCTAATGTCCTGCAACAATCCACTCACCACCTGTGCTATGGATAACGGGAATGAAAGAGAAATCCTTCATAGGTACTGCCATACAGGGCCAAGGCGGCCAAGGAACCACCGCTGACATCCGCCGATATACCGCGGGTTCCAGCCCCTTCTCTCGGCGCTTGTGCTGCTTAGGCTTGCCTCATGGCTTGTGAAGATGGCTTCCTCCTTATGGGTCAGCGTGCGTTCCACCTAGTGCGCATGACCGGAAGTGACGTATCTGACGTATGACGTCAACGCGTTTCGCCGATGGGCGTATCTCACTCAGCTTCGTCAGGACCAATGAAACAACCGCATTTCAATTTCCTATTTATAGTGGGTAAAGACCCACCCACTATATGCCGGCACAGGAATGTATTGTACAATATATTTGACATTTATGTCTTCCTTCATACAGGCCTGAGGCCTGCTACTCTCCTTTTTGACGCATATTGTGCTTGCTCCATTGCATACATGTGAGATATATATATTTACAGCATAATTTTTTGGATTTCTTGATAGGGATTTGCCATTATGGTTACTGTTTAATCCCTTATATCCTCTATTATGGTATGCCCATGGCATACTTTTTGGATACACCTCCCTAGGGAAGTGTTCACCTGTGTGTTTGTGTTGCAGGGACACTAGACTCATGTAGCCATTTTCCCTGCTACACATACATTTAGACCGTTTTTGTGTCATTTTAAATGGTTTTAGGTCTGTGTGTATTGTCTCATACTGAGGTGATGGTAAACCAGGGCAAATGCCCATATGTCATATTCATTTGTGTGTAATAAAGCATAATTTTTGGAAATTATTCCCTTAGTGTCACGTTCTGTTCATTATGTAGCCGCTTTTCTGTGAATCTCTTTTCACAACCCTCCTTTTTTGTATGCATCTCATGTGGCCCCCTACTGACCCCGGGCCCTTGGGCAGTACCCGAGTGGCTAAATGGTCAGTCCGCCCCTGGTTTCCACTAACCCTGCATTGAGTTCTTAGGTCTACACACCTGCTGTGCACATTATGATGGGCTCCCACCATCCCTGCATTGGGTGCCCGGGTCTGTACACCTGCTGTGTCCATTATGCAGGGTTCCCACCCTCTTTGCTCTGCATTTCTAGGTCTTCATACCTGCTGTGCCCATTATGAAGGATTCCCACCATCCCTGTTGGATTTGTATAATAAACACCCCTAGGTGGGTGGGAAAACTTATCACACCCTCAAGATAGGAAAACAGAACCAGGAACAATGGCAGGGATATTCTGACACTGAGGTCTTCAAGGGATACAGGGAGCAGGCAAATGACTCTGCCTACAAGACTTGACTTATAACTAAAATTTTACAGGTTGGTTCTTTAAAATAAAATTTACAGAGTGGATGAGCCATTGCTTGCCTCCTTCTGAAAAACCTGGCTGTTATACTGAGTCATTGGCTTTAATTAATAAAGTACATTATACGACATAAAGTATGTGGACACCCTTCTAAAGGATTGATTTCAGGTATTTCTAATGAAGAGTACTGGTACTACTCCATCATGCAAAAGCATTGTTCTCTTCCAGCCTTGGGGTAACAGTTTGGTGAAGACCCTTTTCTGTTCCACCACTACTGCCCCGTGTACAAAGCCAGCTCCATAAATACATGGCTTGACCAGTTTGGTGTGGGGGAGCTTGAGTGTCCTGTACAGAGCCCTGACCTCAACCCTACTGAACATCTTTGGGATGAATTGAATCACTAATTGTGAGCCAGGGTCTTCTCATCCAACATCAGTACCTGACCTCACAAATAGAAACAGCGTCCCCCAAACCTTGTGGGAAGCCCTCCCATAAGGGGAAGCCAGCTCCATAAAGACATGGCTTGATGGGTTTGGTGTGGAGGAGCGAGAGTGTCCTGTACAGAGCCCTGACCTCAACCCTACTGAACATCTTTGGGATGAATTGAATCACTAATTGTGAGCCAGGTCTTCTCATCCAACATCAGTACCTGACCTCACAAATGGAAACGGCGTCCTACATACCTTGTGGAAAGCCCTCCTAGAAGGTGAAGTCAACTCCATAAAGACATGGCTTGATGGGTTTGGTGTGGAGGAGTGGGAGTGTCCAGTACAGAGCCCTGACCTCAACCCTACTGAACACCTTTGGGATGAATTGGAACCCTGATAGTGAGCTCTTCTTATCCAACATCAGTACCTGACCTCACAAATGGGCACAGATTCTCACAAACGTACTCACATTTTGTGGAAAGTCTTCCCAGAAGAGTAGAGGATGTTATAGTTGCGAAGCAGCAGTGAAAGGGGTGGGTGTCAACTCAGTATTAGTGGCTATGGTTTTGGAATGGGAAGTATGACAAACTCATATAGGTGTGATGGTTAAATGTCCACAAACCTCTGTCCATATGGTGTATAACATATGCAGACCAGGAAAATTAGAAGTCTTTATCTACGTACTTGTACTGGGCTACTGATTTCAAGTATTGAAGCTAGAGGATCAGCAAGATGGTTAGACATCTAGCATTCAAAGAAGTCAGCAATGGTGGTGGCCATGTTTCCGATATTACCAGTTTCCATCATGCTAATGGAGGCTACAAAGCGACACCTTCGCAGGATTGGTATAGACTGCAGTCTTACTATTTCACTTAGATGAGGCTAGAGCTACATAGGCAGTTTTAAGATCTTGCTACCAAGAAATTTATAAAGTAACTCCACCCCTCCAAAGCCTGCCTTATTATATTTTTTTTTTCCAGAAAAACTCTATACAAACTTTTTTGCTGCATTTTTTAGATTGGCATGGTGACCTCACAGACTCTCTTTTTTTTTTTTTTTCCTTGTAACGGTCCTTCTGTGGCATTAACATATTGATAGTGGTACTCAGACCAGTAGTATTGTATTATGATGTCC